AGTCATTGAAAGTCTTAGAAACAGCAGAGAGCTGGGTGTTTTATGGGTTGAATGAGTCTGGCAGGTGGCAATATGATGCCAGGATTAAGCTTTGAAAACGTAATGACACAGACTGAAAAAAGTTGTAAGAAGCAAGCTGGCACACATCTAATGATGTAAAATAATACTTCTAGGTGGAATGAATACAGAATATTTTCACAAACCCCACTTACCATTAGCACCTGTGTTAGAATCCGTCTGCCTGACAAAGGTCAATGTTTGTATAGCAATTAAAAATACTTTTTAACCTTGATTTACCCAGCGAAGGTTGAATATGTATGCATTTGTTTCACAATTATACAGTAACAAACAATCTCCTTGGGGATACACTGCAAGCAAAAGTTTGTGGTGTACCTTTAGAATGGGCTGCCCAGAAAAGACTCTCAGAAAGAAACTGTTAAGGTATAAAACATTAATGTTCACCATCAGGCATGTATTTGCATAAGAGTCTTTCATAAAGCCGAATGAGTTGAGCAATCCTTTAGATATTATGAGTCAAGTCAAGTCAAGTCAAGTTTATTTATAGAGCACATTTAAAAACAACCAAGGCTGACCAAAGTGCTGTACAGTAAATACAGATAAAAATACAATAAAACACAATTTCGTAGTAACACCTCGCTGATAAAAATAAAATAAAAAATATATAAAACACATAAATTAAACCTTTCTAAAAGCCAATGAAAAGAGGTGAGTTTTAAGAGCGGTTTTAAAAGTTTCTAGGCTTTTGGAGAGTCTGACGTGAGGAGGTAAACTGTTCCACAGTCTGGGTGCAGCCACAGCAAACGCCCTCTCTCCCTTTGTCTTTAATTTATACCTGGGAACATCTAAAAGCATCAGGTCGGCTGACCTCAAAGATCTCCTGGGGCGATAAGTACTAACGAGTTCTGACAGGTAAGAAGGTGCAGTGCCATTTAAAATGAGCTGAAAGGGATTTAAGGGCGGTTAGTATTAGTTAGAGTTAGGGTTCATGAATGGTAAAAAATGTCATGTACTGCTTACGAGCAAGAAGATTGGTGATTGTTGCAAAGCAAGCAAAACACACACAAACAAAGCCATTCCCAACCATTTGTGCCATCAGCACATTGTCTCACACCAAGAAGATTCTGGGTTTCCACCCCTGTCAGGGCAGAGAAGTTAAAATGTGCTTGTGTGGGTTTTCTCTTGAGCTCCGAAGGAACCACAGAGGAATCGAGTTTCTCCTACCATCAAAGACACACTAGGTCTTTCATCAAAGTGATCAAGTACCACCAAGCTGCTCCTAATATTAAGGATTATTTAAATACCAATAAAGAATTACCCTACACGGATCAGTATAAAATAACTTAAGAAACTGTAAACTGCCCTTTTACCTAGCTTCCTTAGCTAGGGTCTGCAAAGAACTACACAATGCCTTTGAGCACTTGACAGAGGACATTCTAGAAAAAGTTTTTCTTTAATACTTTTGCTCCACAGCAAAACCTTTTTTAGGGTCACACCAACATTTTCACAATAATGTAGTAGGGTGCTGGTTTTGAGGCAATTTTAGTTGAGCCGGTGAAGCTGCCTAATGATCATGGAAGTCTTAACATAAGGTGGTAATCACCTCAGAGGCTGCTCCATTCCTCTTTACACAAATAAGGGTACTTACTGAATTAAATCTGAAAAAGACCCAATCATGGCTAAAATATTAAGAGTTGGAAAATGTAAAAAAAAAAGAAAAGAAAAGAAAAAAAAATGATGAGGTTAAAAATAGTCATTTTCCTAATGATTGTTCAGGCAGTGTACAAAACAACAGTGCTAACCTTTAACTAACTCTGCTACCCAATGAAACCTTGAAAAATGTGTAAAGATAGTAAAATCCAGCAGGAAATTTTCCGTGCTGGGTGGGATGGCCTCACATTCCATCTGCAAGTCTATCTCCAGTGTGTCAGGTCATAAATGCCACAGCTCTGGGCTCAGCAAACATTGTTGTTTCCATCTTACTTTCTGTCATCTACTTCATACCCCTCCTAACTCTGCCTCCCTTGCTCCCTCTATCTCCCTACATCATCTCTCTATCTCCTTCCTTTCCTCACTCGATCTCCATCGGCACACTTTTCACTGTAAATGCTGTGCCAGCAGAGCAATGCCGGGGAAATGGTGCCTTTCACATTGAGAGAGCAAGCAGACGGAGTGGGGGTGGTGCTGGAGGGGGTGTTCAGTGACAGTCCTGAAACCCAGCCATCAGACAACACACTGCAGCAATCACACAGCTCCAGAAGATGGGATACACTGCTAAAGCTCTACATTCAGAAAAGGATCTGGAAATCAGAAAAAAACAATGATAGGAGACAAACTGCTGATCCCCAAAACATAATTGTTTTTGACAAGAACAAAGTGGTCAGAATAGGTTGCGAGTATGAGACAGTGAACGGCCTCAAGAAAAGAGAAGGGGGAAGGGAGGGAGGTTCACAGGCACACTGTCCAGGCAAACAAATAGGCAACGGTTCATTTGAGGACAGAGGCTGCGCCTTTCCATCATTCAACTGTTCATTAATACCAACTATTCCTGTGGGTCTCCCCACACCTAATCTGTGCTTCACTCTGCAAATTTATCAATATCCCAGCAACACAAAAAACATTCTCTACTCCAGGACCTCAGCTTAAAAGCTGACCAGCACTCTGCAGGGCATTGCTAAAACAGTCTCAGAGATGTCTGATGATATCTGCATATGCTGTGTGAATGCTTTGTTGGAAGTTAAGATGTTTATGGTGCAGAAGTTTAAATTGTACTAACAGGAAAAGAGGTATGAGTATGTGTTAAGGAACACTTTACACAGACTCTCAACATGTAGCTCATGCCAGACTACATAGTGCTTGGCTCAGTTTGGGTAAAGGGTTCATTTTCTCAAAATTAACCTTGTCAAACTTGTGTTCTGCCTGGGGGAGATTTGTATTACTATTGTAATTTTTCAATCAAAGACTGGGGAGAGTGTGAAATTTGAACATGCTTGTTCACACTTTACCTCTTCTCATCTCTCTCTCTCACGCTCTCTCTTTACTCTCTTATTTCTTACTCTTTTTTTTTTTCCCACATTCATAGTCCATTTAGAATTTTAAGCAGATTTCACCCATTCTTATAATAGGATTCATCCCTGCCTGAGTGTGGTGTGCTGTTCCTAAGTGTATACAGCAAGCGCATTCGCAATATCAACTCAAGCTCGGCACACTCTGCTACTCCAGCAGAAGAGTTCTGCTAGGTCAGAATTAATTACACAAACTGTTAAGTACACACCAGCTGTTGTAAACAAATGCAAATACATTTTCATTTCAAACAAGCCCTCTTGTATCGTGACACACAAAATACTATAAATCTTCTGTGTGTTTACTTACAACTTGGGCCATCATCAAGCTGTGCTGCCGCTCCTACTGAGAAATTACTCTTATTCATGTGCACCCAGTTGCTGAAAATTGCAATCACCACTGCTTCAATTAAGGGTTCCCCTAGTTTATTTGTGGATTTGCTTCTTTTGTTGTCTCCCTTTGTTACAACAAGTTTCAACGCGGTCTTTAGCCAGACACGTTTTTGGACTATTTTGGTTTTTGTTGTCTTCTTTGATTGGGTTTCTTGACATAGGTTTTCTTTGATGTTTAGTTTGGGGAAAAAACCAAAACCGTAGAATGATATATAAGAATAGCTTTACCATCAGGGAACAAATCTGTAACATTTAAATGTCTAGATTCCCATGTACAGGCTGTATTACTAATAAAAGCTATGCAAATAAATAAGAAAAATATTGTTGTGGTATTGACTTGCCTCTCCTAGAAAAAACAAAAAGACCAACTGCATGACCTTTTAAATCACTAGCCCAGAAGGCTTCATCAACATTTTTCAAAATGGAAGACTTTTGTTTGTAGAGAGGAAACAAAGGAGTGAAAGAAAACAACGCTATTATATCTATCTCAGCAAAACCAGAAATAGTCCATCAATCCAGCAAATGGAGAAGGGTAATAGCCACCACAGACTATTTTAACAATTACTTTACTTCCCTTCAGTCGTATTTCATTCACACCATGTTTTTAATACCTTTCTACTCCCCCAATGGTACTTCTGACTGGTTATCTGTGCTGTTTTAAAAGAGGCCAACCAAATTGTTAGAAAGGCCACCTTCCCTCAGCCATCCAGTCCTGCCAATCGGCCATCCTGTTTCCAGACAGCACAGTCATTTCCCAGCCCAGTGGAGCAGCACTCCCTGACCTCTGCCTCGACCTCCGCCTCAACAACCCAAGCTCCAGCACCAGCTCCAGCCCAGAGAGCAGGCTCAGGCCACCTCTACTTATTTATGAGCCATTTCACACAGTGCTGCTCCCATTAGAGACCCAGCCTTGGCCCACCTTACACGGTACTCTCCTTGCACTTAACACACAGAATACACCAGCAGCGCAGGGGGGACATGGATGGTAGGTGGGTGTAGGAGACTATTAGACCTGTCATATAGGTACTGTCACACATATTGCTAAAGATTACATAAAACAATGAAAGAGAGGACAGCACATCATCCTGATCCCTGGTTAGCAAATGCTTCCTGCAAACAGCTGCTGGGAGGCCAATTGCTTCTTACTGCACATTCTTTCATTATCTGCTGAATAGCTATTTGACTATGCTTAGGGAAATAATAACTCACTGATCTAATTTAACAATGCACAAGAACTGATAGGTTATGCTTATTGGACCATAATTGGACATTTCATTATTTCTCATTCATTTCTTTATATCATTACTGTGACTTAGAAAGGGAGAAAAAAGTTAAGCATCCACAGCAGAAAATTCAACTCATTGATTGATTAACAAAAGCGTACAAGACTTTAATAAGAAATGCTACATATTTATGAATGAACAAAAAAAATGCAGTGTAAGCTGGTTACGTTAAAAAACGTTGGAAACCAATGAGAATTTGCTTGTTCGCTCCCCACATGAATGAGAAAACTTTTATAAATCCCACCTGTGACTGTAACGGAGATGTAGCCCTCCTCTCCAAGTATTGGGTTGATCAGTCGGCAGCTGTAGGTACTGTTGGGCTCCAGCACCACTGTTAATACACTGGTCACGGTAAACAGCCCTTCTCCATTGGCCACAACTGAAGTGGTGATATTCTCTGTCAGGTTGCGCCCGCCCGCGTCCTGCCATATGACATCACCCTCAGGATAACCACCATAGGAAACACAAGTCAGGGCAACCTCATCACCTGGCCGCAGGTTGGATTGAGGCTCTAAAGTCACCACGGGCTTGGAATAGGGTGCTGGGGAAAAAAATGTGCACACAAAGAAAGATAAGAGATGGGTTAGGACTGAAGGAGGGAGTGAAGAAAAAAAGAGGACTAGGATGAGTAAAGACAGGTGAGAATAGGGATAAGAGAGCAGCAGAGCCATACTGAATTCACTAGTTTTAGATTCTCTGCAGTGAGTGTCACCCTGGGAACTGTTTGACATGATTCCCATTAAATTCTTAATTATATTTAGGGAGCTTAGCATAACACAGTGCTTAAGATCCCACAGACAGCATCTGCGGCACATCCTGATGCTGCATCTCTACACTCTAACGCCACTCTCTCTGGAGACCCAAAGCACTGAGCCACTCCCAGAAAGAAAAATATAGTGCAAGCGAGTGAGGAGGAGGCCTGGGAGAAAACTGCCATGCTGAGAGATTTGGGACGACTCAGCCTATGGCACAGAAAAGAGTGTAGAGGGGTGGAGGTGAGGGGTGAGTCGTCAGCCTCGGCTAGAATCACGCTTTTCCAATCCCTTGAGCTGAAGCATGAGTACAGAGGTGGCGAAGAAAGAGGCTGCTGTATTCCCAGAACCAATCATTGCACAACAAACAATGGGGTGGAGCTGAGGGCGAGATGAAATAAGTTTGTGCTGCTTTTTGAAAAGTGGACTCTCAATACGAAGACGGATATAGTGTGGCACACACTAACTTCCTCAGCTGTCCATTTGACTGACAGATTTCCGTTGAGAGTTCCATTCATTTTCTTTCAGCGCAGCTGAAGGAAATCTGCAGTGTTACTTTAAATGCTGGCTAAAAATAGAATACCTATCATTCTAATGCATAAAATGAAACCAATTTGTCACCGTTGGAGGCAGTGCTGTCCCTTTCCCCGGCAGAGGGGAAAAAAAGAATACATATGAAACATATTCATTAGCACTGCCTGATGCATAAAACAGAAACAAACTCACAACAGATACAGAAATGTGAGAAGGGATGAAAGGCACAAAGTACCACTACAAATAAAAAGAAGAATCCCTGCTGTCAAAGTGGGATGTGTGGTTACCCAGAAGAGAAGATGTTAGCGATGGCTGATTGACCATAACAACGGCTAATAATCAATGTCATCAGATAATGATGACAGAATCAATGTTTGACCAAAATCAATGCTTAATAGCCCAGAGGAAACTGTTTACATCTTGAGAAAGGAATTTATCCCAAAGAAGTTAATTGTACGAAAGTTAAATTGATTATATTTAACTGGTGCATATATGCTCATTATGTAGTTGTTGTTAGCGATACTAGATCAAGGTGAATTCATAAAAATGTGCAACTCTATTTCTTTAGCCTAATTCAAGAATCAGAATGAGAATACTTCATTAATCCCTACGGAAATTATGATTCTATTACACCACGAATGTAGAATATAGCATTTATCGATCTTGAAAAACACTTTTCACACTTTGTGCATTTTAATGTGTCACAGACATCACAGCTTGACTTACCAGCCACCTGCAGCAGCAAAGCAGCGCTGCCAAAGTCCTGCACCCTCACAAAGCAGGTATAGCTGCCTTCATCAGCCACCACCACCCTGCTTAGTAGGAGTGAAGCATTGCCCAGGCCCAGCTGGTTGGGAAACAGTCTGGTACGGTTGGCGAATCTCTCTGCCTGGTCTGCCAGCTGGTCGTGTCCCTCCAAGTACCTATGCACACTGCGTTGTGTGTCTGTCAACTGCCAGAAGACACTCAGATCGGACAGGTTGAAGGGGTTGGTGTGGTTAAAGGAGCAGTTGAGTACCACATCACTGGAGTGCAACGCCACAACTGGCTGCTCTGGGACATTCAGTTCCAACACAGCTATAAGAAAGAACAAGCATTACATGAGTATAAATAAAAAGAAAACACTGGGAAAAATACCAGTACTGTAAAGAAATGTTGTATTCTGTCAGCAACAGAAAAAAAATTAATTTATTAAATATACTTTTGGACATTTTTCCAGCAGACATCTGTAGTCAGAAGCCTTTACTATGCCAATCATGCATGCCAAGCATCATCTCTTTGTCCCTTGGCTAGCCTAAAATAAACAATAAATTGCATTATTAAAGACTATTTGGCTCATGTGTAGTATAAACAAGTACTCACTGAATCACAGTATTAATTCAGTGTTCAAATGTGAAAGACTGACACCTACTCAAATGTGAATGTCTTTGAAAATGAAATCAATGCTGCATTTTGAAATGGATGCTGTGACTGAAACATCCACTTTGGGCAGCACAGTAGCATAGAAAAGGCGAGACGAGATGAAGGCGAGAGGGGGATGAAGAGTGGAGATCTGGAGGTAAGCATTAGGACTTTGTTTGTGTTCCTATAGGCCTTGCCTCCTGGCGATGGCTCAGTGTGCTGAAACTCAGCAACGGAAGCAACAACATCAGTATAGCTTTAGGTTAAATGCTAGTTAAATCTAAAAAGACTTTGGTGGTGATAGCGGTGGAACATAAATGCAGAAACGTGTGTTTTTGGAGAGTAAAAAGTGACTGTGCTTCGTACTCAGAGGCTGTGCATCTGTATGTATGCATTTTGTCTGTCTAGACTAGGCCAAGCACAAAGACACAGCATAATCATTGTGGATTAGTAGCCATTGCAGGCAGTCTAAAGTACATCCATGGTATTCTCAAGAGTCAGCATTCTCCATTGATCCCTGTCTGCTGTTATACAACTCTGAGACACTCATCAGCATCACAGGAGAGAAAAAAGCCAGTCGGCCCCTGGAGCAATACACTCTATGCTCAGGCTCTCTAATTGTTATAATCACAGCGTCATTTTAGCCTCAGCACCCCTTTTTGAGCTCTGTCTATCTCACAGCCAATGTCAATGTTGAATCACTTTGCTATGAAGGATATTTGACTGCTGCAGAGGTGCAGTAATTACTTTGCCTATTAACAACAAACAAGTCTTTCATCTGAGAGGGTTCATATATGGATGGATATTGCTAAGTCAAGGCAGACCTATTTTCAATCACATTCAGCCAATCCCAGCAAGGTGGCCTCCACATTACACCCCCCAATACCCTGCTCCTCTGCAGGAACAGTGCCACCTACTGGATTACCTCTCAACTGCAGATGAGGACAGGAAAAAAGCATCGATTTATGCTAGTAGAATCTCTTGTATGCAGAATACAACTGCATATAAATGGCTAAAACTGAAAACACAATGAGTTTTCTGTGTTTTTACCCAAGTAAAAAAGTTACAGTGAAGGACACGCTGCATAAAGCAAAAGCACAAAACCGTTTCTCTTACAGAAGACCATCATATCTGTGTCATAGGTTAATGAGTTGGTATTACCTCAGAGTGTCTGCACCAACAAAGTGCCAGTCACAACAATTCTCTTATCCTCAAGGTGAAAATGGCAGGAGGCTTTTTTTCTGTGATTACAAAAGCTCTACTGTTGTTGTGGGTGTTTTCTATCTCCCTATACTGTGCACACATTCACTCAGCAGGGCTACACAATACAGAAGAGTTATCACACCAAAGCATGGCAGAAGCAGGCGGCATTCTGTCGCCACCAATGGGGATAACTGAGCAAATTTCTAGAGTTTGTATCGGCACTGTCTTAGAAGACAGTCCAACCTTTGTGGCAACGAACAGGTTGATGGTATTTTTTGTATAAGTAGAGGGTCAGTGACGGCCTCTACGAGACATGCATGTTGAGGGAGGAGGAGAGAGAGCAATTAAATCACTCCCCGAGCAGCCTGGGATGACTCACACCACTGAGTTCGTACACGAAGGGGGAAGGGAAGAGGGGAATAAGAAAGAGAGGCTGGTGTTGAGCTCACACTTAAAGATAATATCTGGAAACAAGCCAAGGAAGAGGCTGTGGTGGAGCCTCACACACTAATCCCTCAACCCGGACCAGAGCCATGTCAGAGAAGAGAGAGAGATAGAAACTCCCCTCTCTCATTCTACATCTCCACCTCTTCCCACCTCTTTCATTCACTGCTTCTTTAAGCAGTGACCTACCACTCACTCCAAGGCCCTGTGAGGACACAGCTCTACACAGGGACCTTGTGTAGAGACACCGACTTGGGTTTGGAAAGAGAACACAAGGGGGGAATTTTGCATTGCATCAAGGGGAGGGGATTGGACAGGAGAGGAGGGCAAGCTAGGCCGGCTGACGTCATGGAAAACGCACATCTGATGTCCTATTCGTCAGAGGTGAAGCACCACAAGCCAAAGCGAATGAGCACACGCGGTTTTTGATCTGCTGCTGCTTACAACCGAAATCATTTATACGTTTAAGTGCAAACAGCAGAAATCTACATATATTTAAATACGAAAAAAGAGATTTTGGATTGCCCTCTAAAAAAATCATTTGGAATATAATGGTAGCAATGCATGTAAAACATATACAAAAGCACAAAATTGTTGTTTTGTTATGGGGGGTTTTATTCACCTGTGCCTACATAATCTTTGGTTTATAAAGCTGTATGCATTAAATGAAATCAACTCATATAGCATAAAGACAACATCCCCAAGAGAATGCAACATTACACTAGCATGCTGTACCTTTTTGGAACACTGCTGCACAACAAACATCATCTTCTGTACAACAGTTGACTTTTTGATATGTTTCCACAGAGGTCTGCTACCGACACAAAAAAAACAAAAAAAATACGCTTTCTGAGCAGAGACAAGCATAAGCAGGAGAAGATAAAGAGTGCAGTGCTTGTGGTCTTCCATGAGGAAGCTGCCCTGCACATTGTCTCCAGGCTATTCATGTCTTCTCAGAGGGTAAGTGAGGATCTCACCTCTCCCTTCTCTCTCTCGATAAAGAGATGCTCAGAAGCCATAGAGGGCAGGCTGGGAGATGTCAGGCTGTGGGGATTTACACACTGCACTTTGTGTTTATGGGTCTCAGCTCTGTTTGAGTGCCTGCGAGACAGAGACGGGCACTTTCACAGCCGACATGAAATAAACTCATTACAGCCTTTGCGAGCACTGGCAACGGGCCCCGCTTAGCAGCAAGGCACAGGGCTGGCTAGAAAAGGCTGCAAGTGATCTTAACACTGCTCTCCACTCTACTTTCAAGACTACCCACTACCTTGTCACTATCAACACCTCCTTCCATCCTGCTTTCCTGAGACATGCAAGGTATGGGTGCTACTGGGGTTTCTTCTACCCAGAGTTTTTCATATAGTGAACAGCATGCTCACTAGGCACATGAGATGAGCTTGGGGGCTGACTGTGAGACTGAGAGACAGTGTGATATGCAAGAAGACAGCAAAGGTGAATCTGAACTGTTATACTGGGGCTGCTCACAGGGTAAAGCACAAGTCTGTTGGTAAATAAAACCCACAGATGCCTCGCATCAAACTGGCAGATACCGACAGGTGAGTGTGCATGTGTTCACCCACATGCATTTACAGATGCAGTATGTGTTCGCGTTGGATTACCGAGCTGTGACTGTAGGCCTTCAACAGTCAATCTAGTTATTACGATAGGCTTTCATTTCGACAAGTCTGATGTGCACACCTCAATTACTGTGTTATGTTATGTGCTGGATTTACAGTTAAACAAAATCAGTCGCTGAGTTTGTGTAATTTTCAACAAATTATTTTTAACCTTGATGTACTTACGTACTTCTGTATATGTAACTGTACAAACAACATCTGGATTAAATGATTAACGTTAGAAATAACCAGATATATGAAGATTAAATAAGAAGAAACAAGAAAGAGCCTCTTAACCAAGTATACTTAAACGGTGGAATGAGTAACTAGTATTGGAAAGCCATGTTTCCAGGGCACTGATATAGTAATAGAGTCTGCTGTGACATTAGTGAAACCAGAAAATACTCGATACTCCTTGTATAGAGTGAATAAAAAAAAACTGACTATGTACAATTTATACTACCAGCTTTAAATATCATGAAAGAAGGGAAAGTATAGTGCCATTGAGCTTGAGTTAGCTTTATACTTGTGGCAGCTTTGTACTCTGGCAAGCTGTCCAGCCCAAACAGCAGACAAAAAAGTTGTATTAGAGACAATTTGCAATATTTAAAGTAAAACGCTCAAAACCAAATATATTAAAAAAAACAAAAAACAAAACAAAACTGGAAAGATGTCCTGTCATCACTTTCCTCCTGTCACTCACTCACATGCTTCACATGCGTCATGCAATTTACTCATTTCAACATCAACTTTTTTTTATCCCACAGCTCCAAAAGTGAGTCAACAAAGGGATAAAATGTACAAGCACATTTAGCTGCAAACAAGACCATGCACATACACTATTACAGCAAGAGAGAAAAGGATAAGACAGACTTACAAATGAGCTTGGACATGTGTGTGGGACAAGGACAGTTTAAAAAGGTGCAAAAATGAGAAGAATATCCTGTTGCAGACAAGCATGCACCAATACAGAATACAACCAGGGAGAAGGAAGAAGAGGCAAGTTAGGTAGTGGTTACTGGTCTAAAGCGAAGCATCCATTAGTTTTCTGCTGCTAGATCATAGTACTGCAGAATTAAGATAAAAACCAAGCCTTTTCCAACAAACAGAGGTGAACAAAAATTTAAGTAGAGCAAGAGTGCAAGGGACAAGCTACTACCATATGTTCTTTCTGGAACATACTGAAGTACAGATGAAGACCTGAACAATAACACTCTTATCTTGCATTGTTGTTGATTGTTATTACCTGCTGTGAATCACATCACAACTGTAATCTAACTGACATGAAATCTCTTTACAACTAGATTTCAAATCTACAAATGGAAGAATTTTTGATAATTACATAAACTAATATATTAGTGAAAACTTGAGAAAAGTTTCCAATAGCAACAATACACTATGTCTCAAAGG